TTCAAGCTCAATACTTACTTATTTACTAAATGTATTTGTGTATATTAATTTTTAATTAAAATACTTTAAAAACTTTAATTTAAGTTAAGATTAAATTTTTAAACTTCTATTCTGTCAAACAATCAATTTTCTAGCATATCAAAAAAATGTTATTTAAGTGTTTTTCAATTAAATTTAATAAAATGACTTAGTTTTAAGACACCTTTTGTCTTAATTTTTTAGAGGTTCAATTGATAAATACTTTTCTCTATTTTTATTAATTTTAATTGATATTTTATAGTTTTTAAGATTTAAAACAAAATTACAATTATAGTCACAATGTACTATAGTACACCCTCCCAAATAATGCCCCAACCACATTAGGTATTGAAAAAAAAAAGGGGATGGAAATTGACGCTTTGGTAGGTAAAACGAGTATCCAGCACCAATGCACCGTCTTTCACTACTAAAACTTTGATTTTTAGCAACTATTAAAACTTTGAAGATTTAATATTTTTTGATAGTAAATCAACAAAAAAGGAAAAGATAAACTGAGACAAAGTAACTTTAGCCTTTGATAAAAGACAGAAAAGAGGATGACTAACCAAAATTATTAAGAATTACAGTAATATTATATTTATAATGTTACATAAAATTATAAACTTATAATTGTATGTGATATTAATTAAATATAATTTAGTATTGAATAAATAGATACAGACACTATCATAGTGAATCTTTAAATAAAAAAGTTAATTATATAATAACATATTATATTATAAAAGAGGATGACTAACCAAAATTATTAAGAATTATAGTAATATTATATTTATAATGTTACATAAAATTATAAATTTATAATTGCATGTGATATTAATTAAATATAATTTAATATTGAATAAATAGATACAGACACTATCATAGTGAATCTTTAAATAAAAAAGTTAATTATATAATAATATATTATATTATAAATTTATAATACCACGTGATATTATAATTATAACATTTTCGTTAAGAATTTTTGGATTAAGAAGACAGCTCCTTGCAAAGACTAACCATAGATTTAGGATTTCTATCAATTAG